CCAATGGTGTATTTTGTTTAAATAGCTTACAAATCGACAGTAGAGCCCAACCATGGCAGGTACCCCATCTGTTGCTACTAATATTATATTTGATAAAGGGGTTGCTTTATCCATCAGATAATCCTTCTATACATTAAATATTGTTTCATCTTTAGTGTCGTTGTTAAAGTTCTCGCAAACGGCAGTTCTTCGTGGATTTCCTGACATAATAAAACGAATATATGCCAATAATAATTCTTCATTACCAGGTAAGGTTGACTAGTCCAGCTGTAAAGAGAAATAAGTAGTTTGGAAATAATTACACAAGGAGGTTTCAATTTCATAACTCATTTCATCAATACATCTTTGAACTGTGTTGTTGCTTAAAGAAATTCTTTTAATGATATCAGATACAGATTTGTGTAAAACAGTTTAAAGCTTCTTCAACTGCTGATAAAATCAATCGAGATATTGTAAGACGCTCGCAAATCATCATCATTTCTTTGTGACGTCGAAGCGAACATTATGTCTACAGCTTCGTGGATCCCCGTTTACATCTCACCGACCCCCAATTCTTTTATCGCTCACACGGACCCCTTGTAGATCGTCGTCGACCCCTGCGGATCAATATAGACCACTTTGGCTTCTGCGTGGTCATCCGCTTATTATCGTAAACCGGAGTCATCAAAAAGTCTTACAAAATTCCCTGGGAATAAGTACTTGATAGGTCAAGTTCTGTACACATATTCAAAACTGCTATCGTTTTGTATCTTGACACCACCACGATGTTACAAAACTTTTCGCAAATCTAAATAAATAGTCAGCTAAAGTATCCTGCATTAGGTTGGTATGGCTATCTCGGCTTAATTGGATAAAATCATTTATTTCTCTCTTTAATTAAAGCCGCATGCCTCCAAGCTAGAGCCTTGACTTAAGTTTAACCGAGATGGTTTGTGATGAGACAATGCAATGTGGATTGATATGATATTAATTGGATAAGATCATGCATTTCACAATTTAATTAAAGCCGAACCCGCATGTGCCCATGCCGCAGGGATATGATAATCAGTTTCCGGTTGATGTTAATTGTAGAGCCTCGATGACAGGGTTTTGGGTTGATATGATATTAATCATAGAGCCCCGGCCGCAAACGACCTCGGCTTAATCAAGCCAAGCCATATATCCTCTACGCTAAATTTAACTGAGATCATTTACTTCTGAGAGAATGGAATGTGATGACAGGGTTTTGGGGTTGATATGATATTAATCGTGGAGACTCTGTCGTAAGCGACCTAAGCTTAATTGGATAAAATCATACAATTTTCACTTTAATTAAAGCCGAGCCTGCATGCGCCCAAGGCGCAGGGATTTGATGATCAGTAGGGCAATCAAAAATATGCTCAAAAATGGTAGTTTAAGCGCGTAAAAAAATTTTCCAAAATGTGAAAAACTTTGTTTTACTTCCATCGAAGTTATAAGTGCAAATTTAAATGCTAGTGCTTCACTAACAGTGTATTTATTGTTTATATCTGTAGATCCTTTACTCAAACATGTAGAAATTTCATCAAAATAGAAAAACCGTGATATTTTGAAATAACCATAGCCATTTTTTTATTAACTTACCTGCTTCACTGTTTATGTCATTAATTAAGTTCTGAGCTTGTGTCACTACTTCAACCTGTGCAGAAAGCAGTAGCCCAGCTGTTTCCAATGTTGTTATTGATGCGCTAAGGAAGACATAATTTGATGCAATCAAAATCAAGTCTGATTTTATTGTAGTGTCATTCAGTATGTCCTTTGAAATTTTGATTCAGTGACTTCTTCGTCTAATGCATCAAACACATACCCAATTATTTCGAAGTTAATTGCATAGTTATCGGTTGTGGAGGAAGAGGAAGAGCAAGATACGGCACTATTTCGTTAAAAATCGCTACTCTTGACGGCGTTTATAAAAATACTTTTTTCACATTGGTTCAAATTTGCTCACAAACTCTATGAAGTTCGTCTGCAAGGCAAGTTAAGTGTGCCACTTTTGGATAAAACGTTTGTATGGTCTAAGCTGCTTTTATCATGTAGGGAGCAGCATCTGACATAAAGAGTAATAAAATCATGTCTCTGTTAAAAGTCTCACCCTAAATGTTAATAGAATCAAAATATCAATAATGACATTTGCCACATATTTTTCTGTTTCGTCGATTGAAATCCACAAAAAGCGACCGTTGATTGCATTTCTGTATGTGGTCTATGGTATTTTTGTAAAGTTCTTTAACATATTTTGTGCAAAGAGTATTTTCCGATGGTACTTTATACTCTGTGTATGATTCTAGGAACGATACTAATTTTTTGTTGCTCATTTTCTATAGAAATATATTAGCGGAAATTAGTGCGCTATACAGGTTGATTCTCAACCTATATACATCAACTTGGGGATTTATTCTTCGAGACAAATAATGAGTAATAGGTGAAAAAAATTGTAGTAAAAGATTTTTGGTTTCATAGATATCCGGCGACATCTAGATAAGGTACCTCCCGGAAGATGGACAGGTTGAGGTAGTTCATAGGTCTGGTCATCTCGATCGCCCGACCTCAATCTCAGTCTCTCGAAGTTAATACTGAGCAAGGATTGCGAAATAAGATACAAACTGCTGCCGATAATCTACCAACACCCTGGTTTAGGCCGCGCTATCATATCATCTTCAAAGCGTATAGTCTTTGCTTTCAGAAATCATCTTACACTGCAACACCAAACGATCTCATCTGTTTAGAACTGGTACCACCATACTTATTTCATCTTCTGCAAAAAAATGTTTACATAATTTGAGTGTATCGTTTGCTCACATCCTTCTGATTGCAAGAGTTGCCTACACAAATGATGCATGGCGAAATTTAGTAACGAGATAAAGAATGACATGTACGGGTCATACAATGTTGAGGAAAATGTATCAAGGATCATCAACTGTATCAATGAGATAAAACTCTCTCGGAAAAACGTCAGACAGCCTTCCTCTGATACGTTGATCTAACCAAAACGTACTTGATTTGAAAGTAAATTTCATGGATAGCTAGGAAACTAAAAAACTTTTGCTGCAATATTTTTCGCCTATTACTTATTATTTTACATGAGGAATAAATCCCTAAGTTTATGCGTATAGGTTGAGAATCACCCTGTATAGATCTTCTGCAAGTTGAACATCTTTTGATTTGGTTGTGGAACATTCAGCAAAAAAAGTCTGAGTAATTTTTTTCTCATTATTTCTTTTCTCTAGTTCTATGTATTTTAAACTTGCTAGACGTTGTTTTACCGACAATATTTTTTGACACAGATTTGTTGCACACTTTGCAAAAAAGTAGTCTTCAATACCGGATAATTACGCACCTATTGCGATAATTTTCCTGACATGGACGTCTTTACTTTCGGCATAATTCTACAATAATTTCTAATTTGTACAACTACTACAATTTCAAATAAATTTTTACTCTTTTCTAATCACTTGAAATCATCAGTTTCGGGTTGATGTTAATTGTAGAGCCTCGGCTCAAGTTTAACTGACATTATTTGTGACCAAGACAAAGCAAAGTGATAACAGGGTTTTGGGTTGATATGATATTAATCGTAGAGTCTCAACCACAAGCGACCTTGGATCAATCATACCAAGCCGTAGATCTTCTGCACTAAATTTAATTGAGATCATTTACGACTGAGATAATGCAATGTGATAACAGTGTTTTGGGTTGATGTGATATTAAACAAAGAAAGCCATAGATTCTTTGCACTAAGTTTAATTGTAATCATTTACGATTGAGACAATGCAATGTGATGACAGGGTTTTGATAACGTTAACGTTAGTCATAATCTATTTGATGCATAATTGTCGTAATTTAATAACAACCATTACTTTTATATTGCCATATGAATGATTATGTCCCGTAAAAGGCTTTCTTATTACATAACGACGTTTTCCTAGTAAAACTTAATATATTCCTTGTTTCAATCGTCGTATTAGAATATTTATGTTCTCGAATTAATTCCTTTAGTTATTAACCAGACTGTTTATAATGCACGGTATGTTCATGAAACACTGAGAATGTACCGTTTTTGGATTTATTTATAGCTAATTATTATTCTATTTGTGGTTAGGTGATTATTTCTGAACTGAGAATTAATCCTTAAAAATTACAAGTAATTTTAATTATTTTAATTGTATGCTTATTAGGTTAGAGTCGATTCCAGGAAAATGACGTGGTATTAAAACCGAACGATAGCAATCCTTCACAAGACTAAAGTAATTTACAATCTAGCAAACAGTAAATAAGGGATTGGCTTCTGGTACGCGCATTATCCTTGAGTTGCAAAACACGTCGATTTTGAAATAAGTAATCTCTCGTTGAAAAGGATCTTTTTTATAATTTAGCAAAGAACTTCTCTAATAAAATACTTAACAATAACCGCTACATAAATTTCAACGCTGCCGTTTTCTTGAACGATGAACTCGTCTTGCCTTTTCAGGCGACCATCGTAATTTTCTTATAATAAACCGTTTGTCATCAATCACAAAGGAAAGATATTGCGGTATTTATGGATGGAAAACAACAAAATATCAATTCCTACGTTCTTCTCGAGTTTACACTTATTTGTTTTATACACGTTTCATTTTCATGAAACTCGGCAATACAAAGCTCCTTTTGTGCTTTGCAATTTTCACCCTCATAAACAGAAGCAGTAAATCTAGATTTCAAAGAAAGTGACAAATAGCGTACGGTAAAGTGTCCTTAAGATCGACCACAAAAAGCTTTGTGCGAGTGCTAAAATGGTTATAGTTAACGTGAAAGATAAATTTATCAAATAAGGAAAAGTATGACGTAAGTTTATTTTCGTCTTCATAAGACAAGGGGGAGGATTTTTTTTGGTTTGCATCCCACTCTCTTCATTTTCGGGATCGTGTCTCATTTTATAAATAAACACCACAGTCTTTAGAGATAGACCACGTTGAAAATTTCACTTTTGCAGTCTCCGCCGACCAATCCATGCAGACACTGTCGCACCCACGTGCAAAATACACGTCGAACACGAAGTGTACGAGTCGAATTCAGTTACAAAAGATCTCGTATCCGATAGAGAAATAGTGATTGTTGACATTTGTGGTAGCTACTGTTTTTCAAATTGAAACATTACTGAAAGGTTTTAGTGATAAATTATAAAAAAAATTGTGTGGTGTAGAATGCCCAATGAAAAATGTTTTCGTCTCAGTAAGTGTTAATTTTTTTTTTGCAAAAATCAAAAACGATACTGTCGACATTTTAAAAGATAATTTTTTTCTAAGTCTTATATTTCAGCTTTCGTAAGCTTTCTGCACAGTCTTTCGCAGGTGTTGAGAAGTTTTTGTATACACATCAAGTTTTTCATCTGACTTTCTCTCCTCTTCGAGTTGCGCCTTTAAAAAGATTAACGCTGCGAGATTAAATGGAAAATTAGCTAAAAGTTTTAGAAACAATGACGTCTTTAAATCGAGTTACGTGACCCCGAAATATAACGGCTACAAAAAAAGTTAACGAACAAAACGTAAACCCAGATTTCTCCTTTCTTGTTCGTTTAGTGATATAACAAAGCTTTCGTGTAATTAACTTCCTTTTGAAAGCTTCTGAATCCAATTGTTCCTGAACGAGAGAATCGGATATTTTTATTTCGGTCTCTTCTCTTCCCACGATTTTCTCCGGCTCTTTCTAATGTTGCGCTTCATGGTGTTCGATCAATCCACTCGGAAATCTAATATGTTATGCACAAATGCATTCGAGAATTGATATCTGGGCGTATTCACATCTTCTCATAACAAAAAAAAACGTTATTGTAGGTATTTCTAAAGAATTTTAAACATTTCAAAAATTGTTTTAAAACGTTGTTTCCTTATAAGATTTATCTGGGCTTGGATTGAGAATGATTTGTGAGCGATTCTAATTGCTCTAATCTATATCATGAGCGCAGTTAATCACTGAACACGTCCCACAATCGTAATTTGTTAAATGGGGTTTAGAAAGTAAATGTCTTTGTTTGGAAATTCTCGACTTATATGGAGAATAGAATACGTGTGAAATGTGAGGAAGAAGATTTTTTTTCGGAATTTTTCCTAATTTTTTATAATTAATGTAAATATGTCAGTTTAGGGCTATAATACCAGTTATCAGTCCAAACCACACTTCCTCTATTCAGAAGCTATTTCATTATCACACCGGAAAGTCCCGATGAGTCATTTTGGGGATGTTTTTATGAAGGAATGCTTTCAAAACAATCCCCAATTTTGCAATTGAATAGGACAAACATTTTTATTACAAATTTGTATTTAAACAATCATCTACATGTAGGAGGTTAATTATTTATATGGAAAGGTTTGTTTTATTGACGTTTTTACTTTTTGAAGAAGAAGAAAAAGTCATATCATGGAACATTCTAAATCAATAAAAAACGATGTGCTGGTGGAGAGAGTTTGTAGTTCATGTGGCGATTCCAATCAGATCCAAAAAGCAAGTACACGAGTTAATCTCACAGTACCAAGACGTATTAGCTTAACGATGGTTAGGAAACATACCAGTGTCGTGTACCATAAAATTGGCATTAGGACACTATCAATGTAGTAGCGATACTGCTAAATTTCCCTTTAAATTTCCCTCCACTTATATTGGCACATCGAGAGGTAAAATGCTCTCTGACATGGAACATCCAATCTAGTATCGACTATTAGATTTATTAGTTTCTTAGGGCATCATCAGAGGTCTTACGATTAGTAGGAAAGCAAGATGAGTCGATACATTTTATTACTTACTACTCATATGTAAACACGGATTTGACATTGATAGACTCCAAAGATTTAAACTCTCCGGACCTTGGCGAGCAATTGAAACGATTCAGAAGACTTGTCAATTGCGAAAAATTACTTATTCAAAATTAATTAAGATTGTATCAATCTGAAACTGGTCATCATATTGTAACGCCTCGGCTTCCGCTTTATCAAGTGAACTTATAGATCAAAATGAGTTTCTTTGCAAAAAAGAATTAATCATTCATATGTAATTTGTCATTATTGTAGCAGCGTCGTTTATATAAAGATCATACTGAAAAGAGCGATAAAAAGATAAAAAAGCTTATATTATGTATTATCTAAAAATCATTTCTGTCGCTTTTGATCATCCTAAACATTTTTCAATGTCATACAACATCGTTCTGTCAATCTGTCTCAATACAACACCAAACATCACAGGGCTTTGGTCATTACTCAATATCATCCCTGGCACCCCTCAACATCGTCCCAAACATATTTCAGAATGGTTCTTGAGTTGTACATTTCCTAATATCGTTTCGGATATCTTTGAATATCATTCTGGATAAGTCATCCAGGTCGTCCTACAATATTACTCCTGTATGCCTAACATACTTTCAAACATCCTTTAATATTGTTTCTCACAAATTGGACAAACATTCCTCCATAGGTTCTCTCTGATAACTCTCAACCTTAACGGTGTTTCCTTAAATGGCATTTGCTTGTTTGCTCTCAGCGCAAATTTTTGATTATATTTATGTTCCATTGGGCAACTCCCCGTTCATATAGGATGTTTCTCAGCTTTGTGTGCTTTACTAGGATAAAAACTTCTTCGTAGTTTATAAAAAAAAGATGAACATCCTGTCATTGATCTTTACCATGTCATTTATCTTTATTTGTTATTGAACCCAAGTAGTGCCCCTCTAGTTCCATGAGCTAGACGAAAACCAAATTGTTCTTAATTCTATCTTCAGAGCATAGCTGTAACTAACCAGTAGATAATGTGAGTACTTGTGTGTTCCACTTTTTTAGGTATCGGAATAAACATAGATCGGGTACAATCACATGGAAAATTCCCGACTAATATGTCTTGTTTAAAAAGTTTTTTAGAATGTTGAGACTTTCAACATCGAGTAGTTTAGAAGTATCTCGGCATATATATTATTCTCACTCGGGGGTTTCCATGTCTTGTGACTTAAGAATTACCATCGGTTAGTATTTCTATTGGTTCCTTTACTAACCTATTATTATCTAAGAAAAGGTATAATGTGTCTATCGTTTCTTCTTCTATTAGGGAATGTTCATTTTAGGTCTAGATATTTTGTTAATTCTTTTGTGCATGTTGAAAAGGTCATGTTTTGTTGTAATTCTTGGAGACCTTTGCCATCAAACTTTCCTTTGCCTTCCTTATGAATTTTACAATCTTTGATTTGTATTTCTTGTTGTCGTTGTGCATATTTTTTTAACATTCACCCATCCATGTCAGATTTTCTTGAGTCATCCACTTATATTTTGCTCTCTACACCTGAGCTCCCCTTCAGCCTCTTACACTTCTTGTATTATTCTTTTAAATGTTTATCACTGCTTCTCTATATCAGTGCTATTTCTTCTCTAATTTCTGATTCTTTCAACATTACAAAATTAGATTTACTTATCTCAAATTTCCCGATCGCGGGGTTATAGGCAGAAGTGATATCTGACCAACAATTCCTTACATCCTACAATATCATCCCAGATAACCCTCATTATCTTTCCGGATATCCGTCAGAATTGTGGTTGGAGTACAAGCCACCGTACACCATCGTACTCTCAATATTGTCCTGTAACATGGTTTTGTATGATACGCCACTGATAGATCTAAACCTCGATGTGAATGTTCTTCAAGATAATTGGGTTTATGTATTTAATTAATTAATTAAAGGGTTTATGCTATCTGATATTTCAGAATCGTCCTTGGCACTGCTTAATATCATTCTAAATCATTCCTTAATATCTTCTCTGATATCCCTCAATACCGTCCCGGATATTTCTCAGAATCCATAACTATTCTTGGCGTTCATCGATATCGTCCTTGATCTTTTCCAATATCATTCCTAGCAGCTTTAAATATCATCTCTGATATCCTCCAACATTATCTAACACAAACTGTAATATTGTCTGGACACTTCTTACTACCAAGCCAGTCACCCCTCAAAATCGTGTCGGAATTTTTTAACATTATCCTTGACACGTCTCAACATCATTTCAGATATTTCTCTAGATTTCTACATATTAAATCTATCTTTCTCCATATCGGCTCAAATATTTCCCATTATTATCTTGGAAACTCCTCTATATCCGACTTGACATCATTTAACATCGTTTTTTCCAACTCATAACATCGTCAATAGTATCTACCAGAATCGTCTCCGATATCCCTTAGCTTCTTCCTTATTATAATCGCTGGCATCGCACAATATCGCCTTGATCATAACTTTAGAGCTTTATTTGCTTAAGGACAGAACATTTATTCCCTAAATAGCTGATTTGCGATACTATGTCTCTGACAATCCTCAACATTAACATTATTCTCTCAAATTAATATAGCTTCCTTCAACAACTAAAACTCATGTTCAAAGCTCCATGAAAACTAATAGTAATTGGAACATTTTGAATAAACATATAAGTTATGTGATGAAGTTAAAGATCTTTTGACTAATTAAACCAAGATTGCTTGCGACCGAGGCTCATTCATTAACATTATATCAACTTGAAATTGGACATCATATTATATTCTTGAATTTCAGTACTCTCAGATGGAGTTCCGGGTTCTATAGGATTTTGGATGTTACTAGTTGAATGTGTAGAGGTAACACTTTCAACTGGTATCGACGATGTAGTTTCCAATGGAGCTGCAGTAATATCTGATACAGACTAGTTTCAACTGGAATTTCAGTATTTCCAATAGGATTTGGTAATGCATTTGAGGTACCTTCAATTTTAACTTCACTAATGCTAGGAGCACTGCTAGTTTTTACTGGAATTTCAGTACTCTCAGATGGAGTTGTAACTTCTATAGGATTTTGAGTGTTATCAGTTGAATGAGTTACCTCTATCGATGATGTAGTTTCCAATGGAACTTCAGTAACATTTGAAGCAGTACTAGTTTCAGTGGTTCCAGTTGAGTTTGGTCCTGCATTTGAGGTAATTTTAATTGGAACTTCAGTAATGCTAGGGGCAGTGCTAGTTTCAACTGGAACTTCAGTACTCTCGGACGAAGTTGTGGGTTCTTTAGGATTTTGAGTGTTATCAGATGAATCTGTCGCTTCTATCGAAGATGTAGTTTTCAATGGAACTTCACTAACATTTGAAGCAGTACTAGTTTCAATTGGAATTTTAGTATTTCCAATAGATTTTGGTCTTGCATTTGAAATAGTTTCAATTGGAACTTCAGTAATG